ATATATTTTTCTTTCTTTTTTAAAAAAAGTAGGTGTTTTCGTTCCCCATCAACGCAATTTAGATTATTTAAAAGGCCTGCTTCCGATCCAGTCTGTGGGAGCCAACCCGGGCTAAGAGAGATACCACATAAATTTCAGCAGAATGACCTATATACGAGTACATACGAATATGCTCGATAAAAATTCTCCCCATTCGGGAAACGAACTCGAGTCTCCTCTGCGCGACAATAAAGCTTCTACCCACTACACAACAGGCACCGTTTTCTCTCTTCCTTTGGAAGTTATATTATGTGTGAATGTGTATGTGTGTGAACTAGAGGATTGACGAGAGAGTATGTTCCCCACTGTACATGGCTATGAAGACATGAAATCTGTCTAAAACAAACAGTTCCAAGATTTCTTCACGTGGAAGAACTAAGGAATATCTGAATCTGAATTTTCAGTATGTAGGAAAATGTAACTACCAGCTTCCACCTCCCCCCTGTAGTCTTCATGCGTGTGCGCTTGTGTGTGTGTGTGTGTGTGTGTGTGTGTGTGTGTGTGTGTGTGTGTCTCTCTCTCTCTCTCTCTTTACCACTTTTGTCACCCTCTCCTCCTCTCTCCCTCTTTCTCTCACCCGCTGTCCCTCCTCTTTGCATTATGTCATATCTAATATGTGTTTGCATATTTGTCTAATTCTGTGTGTGCTCGTGTGTGTGTGTGTGTGTGTGTGTGTGTGTGTGTGTGCCGACTGGGGAGCAAGGGAAGCGAGAGATCGCGCCTTCGCCGCCTGCTTTGATATGGTACGGGTGGCATGAATTATCCCCCTTGCGATGAAGTGAACGTTAAAAGAAGAAGGAAGGAACACACAGCGTACTGCGCGCTGCCTCGCGTCCTCCCCGCAACGCGCCGCGCGGCGCAACACTCGCGCGCACACACACACAGCGGCACACACACAGACAGACAGACACACACACACACACGGCAGACAGCAGACGACGAGAGAGACCCCGGGGATCTCACTGGGAATCTTGCAGCTCTCTCCGTGTGTGCTGTTTGTGAAGTAGTGTGTACTTCCGACTAGCTCCAACTTGTGTGTGCTCGTGTGTGTTCATCATTCTTCCTGGTTTGGATTACTAGATCTACTACGACTACTGCACATTTTACAGCGTGTTCCAGCAAAAGCAGGCAACTTCCTGTTTCTCTTCGTCCGTTTTTGCTGTTTCCTCCTGCTTTTACAGGGTTCAAACCAGCCGGCCTTTTGGATTGGTTTTGTCCGTTGGTGTGTGCGGAGGGGAAAGGTTTGTTGAAGCAGCGGCGAGTGTTGTGTTGTGTGGTGTGTGTGAGAGTGCTCGTTCGTGTCGTCGCTTCACCCGGGGTTCTAAGATGTTCGCCCCTCGGATTATTACCCTGGAACGTGCCGGGTTCGGATCTTACGCCCGTCTGTGCCTGATGTCCGTGAGCAGCTGGATTAGATAGACCAAGGACTAGCAGACTATATTCTAGCAGGAGGAGACTGGTGGTGGTGTGTGTGTGTGTGTGTGTTTGGAGTTCTGAGCCTTATGTGGTAGAAGGAGGAAGGATTTTGTTAAGGGTGAGTTTCCCTTCTCCCCCCTCCCCCCATACACACGCAATACTCTGTCTCTCAAACACACATAAACACCCACTGCATTCGCATATACTATATACACTGTCACAGACACACGCGCGCGCGCACTCATGCCAACTCATACATAGGCCTACTCTACACATAAACGCATAAACACACACACGTGTTGGTTAAACTCATTCACCGTACCCTCAAACACACTCATGCTC